TTTTGGCTTTAATTGTTTAGTGTCTGTCTACCTCTGAAACTTCAATACTTTACCCACCTGATGCAAAGAGCTGACTCACTGGAAAAGACCCTGATGCTGGGGAAGATTGAGGGCAGGAGGAGAAGGGGATGACAGAGGATGAGATGGTTGGATGGCATCACCACCTCAATGGACATGGGTTTAGGTGGACTCCGGGAGTTGGTGATGGACAGGGAGGCCTGGCATGCTGTGCTTCATGGGGTCCCAAAGAGTTGGACATGACTGAGCAACTGAACTGAATCTCCAGTACAATGTAAGTTTTATGAGTAGGGATTTTGTGTGTATACCTAACTTCTAATACAGGTATACATTGTAAGGACTAAGTATTTGTTGAATGATTAAATGAATAGCCAAGAAAAATAGCTTCCTTCTTTAAAATTCACAAATTAGACAAAAGACAAAGCTCCCCATTCCCATTTCCAGTTTATTATTTCTTATGTAAACATATAGAATAGTTACATCCAGGGGAAAAGGGCAAGGATTTTCTTTTACACCGAACTAACAGTTGTCTCTCTGAGATCTTTTTTATACATAAATCCAGTAAATGAAGAAGCTGAACCAAAATATACTGCATACTTTTCCCATCATACCAGCAACCACAAAGAACTAAAAGTGAATGTTTTCAATGAATAAATTCAACATTTTACTTTGCCAAACTTTACTTTGCATTTTAAAAAACGATTTCATTTTCCTGAAATTGTTTAGATACATCATGCAAACAGACACTCCCCCAGGAATGACCTGAGATCACTCTGTGCTAGTGAACAGGAATAAATAATAATAAATAACAACCATCACTTTCACAAAACAGCCCTGCCCCACAAGCAAGTCTCAAAGAGCTTACAAAAAATTTCACAAGAATTTTACAAGGCACACATAAAGCAAAAACATAGTACAACCATAATTTTTTTCAAACATCAAAGATAGATAGCAATTTCTAAAAAAAAAAAGTTTATTTCTATTCTTTTACTCTCCCTCCCATCTCCATCCCTCCCCCACAAAACTTCATTCTAGGAAGCAAAAATAAGAGTACTTTAATCATAAAGTGTTTCTGAAAGGAAAATGTTCTCATGCCTAAAAATGGCCAATCATAGGTCAATTGGGAAAGAAAACCGAACACTGTGCTATCAAATTCTCCAGTGGAAGAAAAAGTTTAATTCAGAAAAGTTCTGCCTCCAATGGAGTACTCAAGTAGCAACATTCATAAAGACACAAAACTCTCCTCCCTGGTTTTTCCCTCTTCTCTGTCCTTAAGAAATTCAGGGAGATTTACAAATAAAATCAAAGAATTTTAGACCTTGAAATGATCTTACTTTGTCAAAATCAAAGTTGTCATTTTACATATAAACTTATGAAAAGCTCAAGGAGAGGTGACCTACCCAATGTCACTAACTAGTGACCTGGGTGTTATAAAGTTGTTTTTCTTATCCAATATGAGAGCTGGATTATTTAAAATCTCTCCCAGAGTTAAAAATCTATAAAGAATTTATTTTTCACAAAGTATCACAAAAAGGATATTTAACACTTACACAATCAACAGGTGATTCATCACAAAATACATTAAATGGTACAAAGTATATTACAATTTAAAATGTCAAAGGGCTTCCACAGAAACTAAATCTAACAGAAATTCTAAATAAAGCTGAGGTGAGTGGAGGAGGCACAGAACATCTTGAAATAAGATGTATCTAGTCAGGCTTCTTTACTAAAAGTAGTTCCTGTGTTTTAGAAAATATGATGTGCCCTGCAGTATGTTTAAATCCTGTTATAACAACAAAATGTTTTGTATTATATGCAGACAGGGATATTAGAAAGCCATGGCTCATAACACAACCTTAATATTACTCTCAGTAAAATAACCACACATCCTGGTTTTGCTTTTGGCACATTTCTGAAAATATGCAATGAAACTCTTAAGGAGGGCTTCTAATGTAAATTTGTGCTGCATGGTACCCCCGATACACTTCGGGTTGATGCGGAACCCTCCAGAGACCTCAAATCCCAGCACCTGGTCCTCCGCCTCAAGTAAATCCAGACGTTGCCATTGCTGGTTTACTCCAGGCCTGAATGCCTTATTCTCCTCTTCTTATATATGTTGGAAAGTTTCTTGGCTGGCGGAACCTCAGTTTCCTCACCAGGAATTGAACCTAGGCCATGACAGTGAGAGCACAGAATCCTAACCATTCACTAGGCCACCAGGAAACTCCCGGGCAAGCCTGACCTGAAGGGAAGTGTCGGAAACCTTACCTGCTGGCCTCTGTGTGGGAGTTTGCTGTGCTGAATCCCTCCTGTGACTGAGCAGCAGAGGACTGTCTATTCCACATGGTGAGGTCATCCATGTGCGTGTGGTTGTGGCACAGGAAGGGGAATGCTGATTCTAAGCAACAAACATCTTTCGAACTTTCAAGATAAATTTCCAAGGACTCACGTGGCCTACGGAAAAGGAAAGAACTGGAATCTGGAATGGCTTTTTCTCAGGAACAGTTGACCTCTGAGGACATGGCCACTGAATTCCCTCAGAAGCGGGAATGCCTGAACTCTGCTTAGAGGGCCTTGTACACAGTTGTGATGGCAGAGACCTCCAGGAACCTGATCTCTGTGGAGATCTTCTGATGGTTCTCATGAGGAAGACCCCGCTATATTGATGGAACTCCAGGAAATCATAGATAAGTAGTCAAGAGAGAAGAGCCAGATGAGGGAGCGCCTGGCAGTCCTCTCAACTCACATGACAGATCTGTACACAGCCAGAGAAGACCTCATCAAATCTAAGGACGTGAATATGAAACTGCAACGAAGTGTTCATGAAATTGAGGCTGAAAACCACCAGTTGCAGGAACTCCTGGAGCTGGCAGAGCAGAAGCTGCAGCAGACCCTGCAGATAGCAGAGATGCTCCCCAAGCAGGAGGCTGAGTTGGTCAGAAGGTGGCCATGCTCTCCAAGGCAAGGCAGAGAGAAAAAAATGAATGAGGAACGTAATAAATGTTTGTCAGAACTGTTGACAAGCTTTTTTCAGAATCTAAAAAGAGGCTTCAGCTTTATCTCAGAGAATGGCGGCTCTGGCAGAGAAGTCTCCTACGAGAAGTGGAAAATGCAAAAAAAGCAGTTAGAAGAAAGGCAACATGATAGGGATCAGCTAAGACTAAACCTGGAACCCTTGAGAGCTGAACAGGACCAGACGAGGCTGAGAGGACTTTCCCTTCATGACCCGACTTGTGCAGGGCCCTAGATGCCAGGTTCCTCATGGCAGACAGGCTGGCAGTGTGGAGACGCCCCCAGAAAAGCTGGCTGCCAGCGCTACATGAAGAGCCTTCCAGGCTTACAGTTTCACGAGGTACAGGATGACAGGAAGGCCATGAAATGTAGAATCTCAGCTCCTTCCTCCCCATGGTCTCTTCAGCTAACAAGCTGCACAGAGGGGCTCTGCGGGCCACAAGGACCTCAAGGACATTTGTAACTCAAAAGGCTCGCAGGATGGCTCTGAGCAACCCCAGCAATAGTTAACAGCAGCCAGGACTTGCTGCTCAAAGCCCCCAAGAAGAAGGCGTCAAGTCCTACTATCGGGGCCTAGTCCGGCATGAAAGAAAAAGGCCAACCTGGACATCTTGGCAAGAAAGTCCACACACTATAACTGAGGATTCTGCATGCCACAACCAACACTCCACATGCCACAACTAGAAGGTCCCATGTGCCCCAAATAACACCAGGTGCAGCCTAAACAAATTAACTAAGAAAAAAAAAAGAACGCTAATAGCTTCAGTTCAGTTCAGTTGCTCAGCCGTGTCCGACTCTGCGACCCCATGAACCGCAGCATACCAAGCCTCCCTGTCCACCACCATCTCCTGGAGTCCACCCAAACTCATGTCCATTGAGTCGGTGATGCCAGCCAACCATCTCATCCTCTGTCGTCCCCTTCTCCTCCCGCCCTCAATCTTTCCCAGCATCAGGGTCTTTTCCAATGAGTTAGCTCTTCACATCAGGTGGCCAAAGTATTGGAGTTACCCATATTTAAACCGTTCATCTAGTGATAGTAAGAAAACTAATATATGCTGCCAATTCAACATTTAAAAAAACGGAATGAACTACTGACACACACAGCAACATGGATGACTATCAAAGGCATTAAACTGAGTGAAAACAGCATCTCAAATGGGAACATACTATAAGATTCCATTCATGCTATTTCAGAAAAGGCAAAATTATAAAAATGGAGAACTGGCACCTGGGTTTAGTGCTAGGAGGAGGAGCTGACTACAAAGCTGAAGCATACAGAAGTGCTGGAGGGTGACAGAATGTTCTGCATCCTGATTGCAGTGGTGGCTGCGTAACTGTACATATAGAAACATTCATAGAACTATACACCAAAAACAAGTCAATTTTACTGTATGTTAACTAACAAAATAAATTTCAAAAAGAAAACATAGCAAATACCTTAGAGCTTCATGTCATTGATATAATTTTACTGGCCACAAAGTTATTAAATGTCACCATATTAAATAAAATCAAGAAACTTGGGCCTAATTAATCATTCTAAAATATATATACTAACAACTCATGGAAATACTATTGTAAGGAATATTAGCTTTATGTATAAGGAAATTCTGCTACTTCCAAGTGAATCTGAATGGTGTTCCTTTACAGTTTAAAACAACAGGTATCATGGTGTTTAGTTTAGAATTTCCAATACAGTTCATTTAAAAAAAATTCAGTAGTCCTACCTGTTGTTAAAATGACTAATAATGAATAATAGTATGCTTTAAATTTTTTTTTCCTCTTCTCATTATCCTAATTCATTAAAGTTATGGTATGCTTGGATTGTACACCTATATCCATTATCTAGGGATTTGAAATCAGAATCTGGAAATACTGCTGGATCCTCTGTCAATAGAACCAAGAATATTTAAGAGGAACACTATTTCTTGAGATAAACCACTGAGACTCATATATAATGCATGAGACAAGACAGCATCCTATCAGCTTTATCATGTCTTCCACACTTTGGAACTGGTAGTACAAGTTCAGAAAGAATAACATGTGTAGGTAGACCAAAAATAAGATCTAAAGATGGGGGTGGAAATGCAATATTACAAATGCTGCATTTCTATAGAAAGACTTGCCCAACAGAATGATATACAGCTTACATAACAAGGTGTGGTTCTAGTTACAGTAGGTTTTGCCTTTCCAGATCATGCCTAGGTAGTTTTTCACCACTGCTTCTGCCATGGAGTGAGGTTAAATGCTTTTTGAGGGCAGATTTGTGCTTGAAATCCATGTCACAACAGTGGCATTTATATGGCCGATCCCCACTGTGTATATTCAAGTGGTCCTGAAGTGTGCTTTTCGCAGTAAATGTCTTCAAGCACACAGTACACTGAAAGGGCCGTATGCCCATGTGCCCTCGAATGTGCCTGTTGAGATTTTTCTTTTGTGTAAATGTTTTCCCACATTGTAAGCACAAGAACAGTTTATGCATCTTAAGGTGGCGCAAATAGTTCTCAACGTGAAGAAACCCTCGAGGGCACCGGGGGCACTGGTGCCTCAGGGAAAAAGCATCCCCTAGATTCTGAACCTCATTCACTGGACCATGACTTCCTTCAGTGTTCTCACAAAATAAGCCTTGATCTTGATTTCCAGGAACTTCTGCCACTCTGCTCTCAACTGTAGAATTGATCAGCGAATGCTGTGTTTCTGAGAAATACATGCTTGCTTTTGAAGAGGTACAGGGCTGTGAAAACTTTCCATTTTCTACACCCCCAGTACTGATAGATTCCACATGGAGGATACGAATTTCATTGTCTTTAAAACCCATGTCTACTGAAGACAGCTCTGGTGATCTCATTTCCTCTCTCTCTGCTGTCAAGCTCTCTACTGTAGACTGTAAAACGTTGCTTTCCTCTTCTTTAACATGGAAATCTATGTTTACAGGACTATCTTCTGAAATTTCAATGATCTCACAGTCTTTATCTGAATTTTCATCTTCATTCTTAACATCTGGATCAGAGGATTGACACAGGTCAGCATGCTGATTGTTATTTTTCATAGAAAGATCAATTTCCAGATACTTTGACAAAGCTTCTGTGCACTTTTCCACAATGTGAACCATCTGAAGGTAACTGGCAGCAGTCAAATATTTCAAAAGCTCTTTCCTTTTAACTTCAAGTGCTCCAGTGTAGCAAGAGAGCAACAATTTTCTGCCAACTTCTGCACTCTGCAAGATGGTGATTCTGACATGTTTTGACTGTGTGAGTAAAAACTGATCTCTCATAAAGGTGGAGCAAGCAGCTAAAATCACCTTGTGTCCCTGGAACTCAGTGTCATTAATATAAATCGACACATCACAAAATAAATTCTGCTGCCTCAAGAGGTTCATTTTCTGCAAGACTACATCTCCTTGTTGTTCAAACTGGAAGTGCAGAACATCAGACTCAGCAGCCATGGTCACAATCTAAGCAAAATAAAACATAAACATGCATGTAAGGATCGGAGTTGTTTTCCTACATTGTGATACCAAAAATAAATCATTCCCAAACCCTAAACCTAAATTAGATAGAAGATAACTCAAATTCTAATCTGTTTGATAAGACTGAACCCCTAGGGTAACCACCTCAAAATCCAGAAAAATAAAATGCATTTCTCTATGAGCTTGTGGCACATTAAAAAAATTTTTTGTTACAACATTTTTTTGTTCATTGTTCTACTTTTATTTGTACATTAAACATTTTTAATGGCAGACTGTTTATATTACATACAGCCTTTATTACATTGAATTATACTCAACAGTTTTTATGTTTTTCTCTTTGGCTAAACTCTATGTGCCTTCTAGACAAGGCCATTGTTAGGGGCCACTACTAAGTGGACTTAACAGTTTCCCAAATTAGAATCCTTAATATAATCACCGAACTTCCTAACTCCTCATCACCTGGACCTCCAGGTAAGCAGGTCCTTCCTTCTGCATACCTGGACCACTGCAGCCTCCTTGATGCCAGTCTCCTACATTCTACCCTCCTAAAAGCCATCAGATTAACATCTTTTGGAACTTTAAAAAATTTTCTATTTTTCTTTTCTGCTTTAAATGTTCCATGATTCTCCGCCATCTCCAGGACAGTCTAACCTTCTTAGCGAATACAAGATCCTTCATTATTTGGCCTTCACCAACGTTATGGCTGTACCTTTCCTCAATCTCTTACATTGAAACTGCTATGATATTTAGATTTTCACCACTGCTCAGACAAGAAGACCCAATTACATCTTTGTACATGTTAGATTCGCGCTTCCAGCTAGTGATTTGGCATAAGGCTCAAATCAAATAAGATTTATCCTCCCGTCTCCCGACAGAGTCAGTAGTTTCCAGAACATCATGAAAAGGAGCCTCGTTCATTTGAGGTCCTGCAGCGAGCAAGGTGGCTGGAACAGAGCAGGGACAGCTGCGGGAGTATCCGTTGAACTGAATTCGGATCACACCGGCCTGGACGATTTTCTAGTTCGCGACATAGGTCTTCTCGAGCCAAGCCCGCCAGGGCCAACGTCCTAACGGACAAGTGCCTGCAGCAGCATTTCAGCCACTCCCCAGCCGCGCCTCGCTGCTCCCCTCCTGCTCCCCTGCTTCCACCTCAGGCTTCCCCACCCGCGAGGCTCCACCGCACTCACTCACCGACACAGAAACCAGAGTCAAGCTTTCCGCGGCAGCAGCGGCTCCGGCCGGAAGGTGGGGGGGGGGGGGGGGTTCAGCCTGGGAGGAAACACATCCGGGGTCAACTAGCTTCGTTCCTCACTGGGGCCCTCTGGGCGTTCCGGAAGGACATCCTGAGACAGTCTTCCTTTCTCACTGCCCCCGCGACTGGGATGACAGACCCCGGAATTCCCTCAAATCCCATCTCTCCTGTCCCACTTTCGGCACTCGAGCCGGTTCGCTCCGTGAGTTCTCAACATCCGAATGGCAAACGGGTTGTGAAGTTGTAGTACAACTCATCTGTCGGAGTACCCAGCGCAGGGATCCCGGCGGGATATCCTGGGAGATCTCCTGGATCCCTGGGAGATCTCCCAGGCGGGAGACCCGCCTGGATTATTGGGGACCGGATCCTTTGCTTACCCGTCATATACCATGTAAAAGGTGAGCTAGGGAGTAGGGAAGGGAGGAGGGTGCGATCGGAATCTGTATTGGAGATTACTTAATAAATGCCCCGTCGGGATCTGGATCCCACATCACCTGTCAACCTATGGCTTCCTCCCTACAGCCCTACCCTTCTCAGTTCCTTAGGAAACCCAGGCATCTATCTAAACCTTTAACCTGGCTCTTTTCTCCAGCATAGACTATTTCCTTCTACGGTAATAGAGCGTGGTTCAGCAGAGGTTGCTGCGGGCCATTACCCCTCACCCCCACCCCCACCCCCGTTACCAGGGAACGGTTAATGGTTGTTCAGCCATTGGTCTGTGCACAGCAATGCTCCCCCCCCACCCCCCCGAGAACCCCCCACCTGGGGGTGGGGTGGGGTGAGGAGCTTGAGGGGCATTTGGGTTGGGTCCCTGGCTGCCTTAGGGATGAGAGCTGGACAGGGTCTGGGGACCTGGCCCTGAGGGAGCAGACAACTGAAATCTGCCTCTCTAGTCAGGACTTGGTCCTCAGATTGTGAACGTTGTGCCTTGGGACCTTGCCCTTTGTTGTCAGAACAGAGAATATTTACCTGATGGAGATTTACAGGAACATCGATACCTGACCATGACCAGACCTCCAGAACAAAGACACCAGGAGGTTTGCAGCAACGAATGTCGTGCCTCTCTCACCTTTCCTATAAAAGGGCTTTGCTGAAAGCTTTTAGGGAGTTTCCCTGATGGGTCAGCTCGTAAAGAATCCGCCCGTAATATGGGAGACCTGAGTTCAATCCCTGGGTTGGAAAGATCCCCTGGAGAACGGAATGGCAACCCACCCCAGTATTCTAGCGTGGAGAATCCCACGGACAGAGCGGCCTGGTGGGCTACAGCCCATGCGGTCACAAAATGTTGGGACATGACTGAGCGACTTTTACTTTTGGGGAGTTTGGGGGTTTTAAGGCATGAGTCACCCACCTCCTTTCATGGCCCTGCAATAAACTCTGTTCCTGACTCCCAACATTTTGGTATTGTTTGGCTTCTCCGTGCATCTGGTGCATGGAGTAACGCTACCACTCATCCTTCAAAATCCCATTCATCGTTCATAAATCACATCATCCCTAAAGCCATCTTGAATTGCCCATGAATTACTTTGCTCCCACTTAGGGAACCAGTAAACCCTTTGGCTGCCTTAATGACTGCAATTATCATACCTGTATTGAAATCTATGTCCCACCTAGGCAGAGGTATTTAGGACAGTGACTTACTGATCTTTGCATTCCCAGAAGTCTAGCGCTAGTAGCAATCAAGTATTTGCTAAATGAAGGAAACATCTCAACCAATTCTCAAAAGTAGTTGCTCCATCCCCTCAGTCAACAGTACAGGAAGAAGTAACTGACCCTCATAACAATTTTTTGTTAGCCCAGATTTGCTTCTGAAGCCAAGTCCAGCATGCTTGATTAACATGTCTTTTCAAGAATAAGAGTGAGAAAGCATCCCTGTATTCAAATTCAAGCAATTGGAATGGGAAGTGGGAGGGAAAGAGAGAAAATAAATCATTGACACCAGAGCTTTGAATTGTCACACTTTTATTAAGGAAACTTCCCCATAATAAGTGAAGAGGTAGTTCACAGTATGTCTAACATACAACAGATTTAGAACAGCTATTCACCAGCTGAAATAAAATGTTCTGGGTTGTTTGTTTAGGACAATATTTTAGAAGTAGTGATGGTGATCACCCTCCATTTATAGATCTTCTAATAAACTAAAACAAATTAAAACCACATCTGATTTACCTCAGAGCCACTTCAGTTTGGAGTTTGCCTTTAAAATTAAATAATAAATAAATAACTGTGACACAGTGATTTTTTAAAAAACCAAACTAAGGAAAACAGAACCCTCTCATTTTTAGTTATCCTGGGGATCCATAAAATACAAATGCTGAATGTCTAAGGTTTTAAAAAATCTTCGTCCGCTACAAGAATACAACTAGTTTTGAAAGTCATCTTCCTCTGTAAAACATATTCGATATCAGTAAATTGATCACTTTGCAATATAATCTAAGAAACATGTATAAACAAAGAAAAACTCAAGTACCACCAAAATTAAGAAAATGTCTCACAGAAACAGAACACCTCTCCAGCCAAGAAATGGGGGAGACTAAACCACTTCAGTGGTTTGCAATTGAAAAAGGTGAGAACTACAAGTTTTACTCATACAAAACCATCAAGAGGCTGATTTTAAGTGATCAAAGAAAGCAAGGCAGTTTTCTTTATTCTTCCTAGGATAAAACCAAATTGATACCTTATCTCACTAAGACTACATGAGACTGTAAGCTCTGTGAGGGCGGAGACCATAACAATGTTATCTTCAAATTCTCAGTATCTAGCATAGTGCCTAGCAATAATATGTGTTCAATAAATGTCTCCTGAATGCCTGAATGAATCCAGAAATAGTCTCCAACCAAAGAGACCAATTTTATTTGAACCCATGCCTTTTAGTTTTCAAACCAGTTACAAAACAAGACATGAATTTACACAAATCAAGCACTCCAACTTGAAATTTCCCCGTGATAAAATGATGTTTAGACAGAAGAGTGAAACATTGGTTAACATGCTAGTGTCTCACTATTGCATAGAATTGGTACTCTTTGGCTGGATCATATAAAAACCAGAATGCTAGGTAGCATCATTAGATCATATAATGAGTGACATTAGGCATAAGATACCTATTAGTCTTATCACTCCATTTTATTCTCATTTAAAACCTTTTAACAAATGGTAGAAATTATATTTCAAATCAGATTCATGTGTAAATGCATCAAATTATAACAACATTAAGAATACCCTCTGACTACTCAAGTTAATTTTTGGTTCATCTATACATGGACTCTTACAGCTCAGAAACAAAAAACAGAAAATCCTGACAGAAACTAAACAGTTTCCAGACAAAATTAGTTTCACATTTGGATCCTTCTCACATTGTTACTTGTCCTTTCTGTTACTAATCAACACCCAGCAAATCAGTTGCTTGCTTAGGAAGACTGTAATATTCATCCTAAACAAAAAATAATTACCTTACAAAAATAAATCCTTCCATGACTGTTCTGTTTGCAAAATCGAGGCTATCTTAGAAAGCAAACAAGGATGCACAGAGGGGAAGCACAAACTAGGAACTTTTTGCTAAAGTATTCTTGACCATGTACTAAATCTTTTTAAGCCAAGGGACAGTGAGAAGTGAGGAGACCTTAGCTCATATTTAGCCTCCTTAGTCTACTTTGACCAACCTTGGCCAGGCTACCTCTTTGGGCTTTGGATACCCCAACTTAAAAAAAGAGAGGCAGGCTAAATGATTTCTTAAGATTCTCTATGGACTCAAACACTCCTATTATCTAAATCTAACTCATGGGTCAGAAATGAGTAAGACTCAAAATTTTATTTCTGAACATGTGCTTAGGAAAAACAGTTTTGTTTTCCCATAACAGAAGATCAACTTTGTATTTGATCTGTCAAAGGGGATGAGGTGGGACTGTGTACCATTATAGGAACATCTAAATGCAAAAATCTGACTGCTCCTTCTGTGACCCACTTTTTTCATTCACTTTAGAAATTAAGGTACACAAAGAAATGAGAATTCAGAGACTATTACAATATACTGGACAAAACTCTGAAGGCCAAACTCACCTTACCAATAGCAAACTTCTATAACAAAGTTTAGAGACTGACTCCACATGGCCCCCTTTTAGACCATTATATATGTTATCACACTTTAAGTGTAGCTGGAGCAATCCTGATTCCAAAAGCATCACCAAGTAAGCTACAGAATAATTATAAGCATTTGACTTCTTTTGGGGGAAGACCTCCCAAATAAGTACTGTTGTAGAACTAACACCCTTTATTGGTTATGCTCCCCAATGATGATTCCTATCTGCAGGTATTGATGGAAATATTGTACTCTGGTCTATGTGAACTTCAATCACATGAAGCTGAGCCATAAACTGTTGAAAAGAGCACAGAATAATCTAAAATACTTCTTTATAGCCAGCTCCAGGATAAGTAGATTCATTCATTTATCAGACATAGATGAATTATCAGTGGTTCTGATAGAACCAGAAGTTATATCACATATTCAGGCTGATAGCAATATCACCTTATATCTCAGCTTATTTCCTACCAAAGAAAAAGATTATTTGCTTCCCTTAGCATAGCGTCTATTGGTGGAGTGGAGGTGATGTTACTAACTTCTTGGTTCCTTCAGAATGTGCCCAGTGGAAAGTCTAAAACAGTGTCCGTCTAAGACATAAGCTGATGTTGGGTAGACAAATGGAGTACTCCTTGGGAAGGAAAACAGACATCACAGGATAAATAATTCAGAACAGAACATGGGAAAGGGCAAAAGGCAGGCAAGACCACTCCAAGTGGCAAGCTGCCTGGTCTATTAGTGCTTTGACTCACCCCCACAACCTGCACAGAGGCTCTGGAGAAGTCAGATTAGCGAAATGACTCCTAAAAAGACTCAGGCTATTGCCACATTTGTAGTCAGTCCTAGTTAGGAGCACAAAGGCCCTATTTAATTCACACAAGTGCTATCGTTCCTTAAGTTCAGGACAGCTTGGGCCAGTTTACCTGCATCCAGGACCTGTGTCGCATCAGGCTGTGGCTGACACCCTTTTGAGTCTGTGACTGTTGTACACGCAAAAGAATCAAAGTCCACAGTGAGGTCTTGCACATTTCTTTCATTGGCATTATCAAAGCTGTTTTTGCCATGCAGCTGTTTAAGGTGCTTCCTCAAAACTGGCTTATGTGCAAAAACCATGTCACAATAGTTACACTTATGGGGCTTATCTCCACTGTGAAGGTTAAGATGATCCTGTAAGGAACACTTCTGAGAAAAGGTTTTCCCACAGATTTTACACTGGAAAGGTTTAATGCCGGCATGCACACGCATGTGTCGATGAAGGTTGCCTTTCTGAGTAAAAGTCTTGCCGCAGAGTAGACACATAAAGAGTTTGTGCATTTTTAAATGGTTGGCGTAGTTCTCCAGGTGACGAAACACCCTGGTACACTTTGGGCACTGGTGATGCCACTGCAGGCCTTTGTCTACACCTCGAATATTAGGCCCAAAGACATCTTTTGAGGCCATGATGATGTTATCACTGCCTGTGTAAGAGAGGGCATAATTGTGGAGATGGTTTTGCTCTATTTCACTTACTCTGTTTTCCACAGTTGAATTTATCAGAGAGTGCTGGGGCTCAGATGAATGTAAAGCAGTAGGTTCAGAAGAAATAAACTGGTTCTGATCTTTTTTACTTCTAACCTCTGATACATCCCCAATAGATTCTACCTTAACGATCTGAATATCACTGTCCTCCATATCCATACTGTCTTCAGATGGGTGAATACAAGGTGAGTCCTGCTTTGGGGAGCCTCTGGCATCTCCCTGATGTTCTTTCGACTGGGGAGAAGCACTCTGTGGTTCACATCCCTCTTTACTTTCCATTGGCTGTTTTGGCTTTATAAACTTCCACAAGGCCTGCGTGCACCGTTCTACAATGTGACTCATCTGAAGAAAACTCGCAGCGGTCAAGTAATTGACCAGTTCCATCTCAGGGAATTCCAGCACACCACTATAACACGACAAGAGCAATTGTCTCCCCACTTCGGAACTCTGCAATATGGAGATTTTCACCTCTCTCGAATCGTTCAGTAAAAACTGGTCTCTTAAGAAGGGGGAACCTGCAGCAAACACAATTTTATGCCCCTGTACCTCAATATCATCTATGAGAACTGTAACATCACAAAATTTATTCTCTTCTCTTAATTTGTTCATTTTTTGTAACATTGAATCTCCATAATTTTCAAACTTGAAGTGAAGGAGATCTGATCTTTCAGACATTTTGGCAGACCTAAAGAACAGAAATGTAAAAAGGATGAATTTAAGAAAATTTAAACAATTAAGAAAACCTGGATTTTCCTTCCAAAAACAAATCTTGTGTTGTCATACCTGTTCATATGTATCTGAATGAAATTTCCCTTGAAAGAGGAAGCTAGTATAACAGCTTTTGAAGGCTGTTAAAAATGACTTCTCACCAACATCAAGTGTCAATTGCACCTAAGGAGTGGACTTATATTAGCAGAAGTAGCTTGGCATTCATTCAGCTTTTTAAGATGCTTAATATAAGAACAGTGCTTGAGTTATTCCAAGGGCATTTCTTTTGCTTCTCAAATTAGAATTCTGTCAGGTTTCATGAACTACCTAAAACATCCCAGCAAGTAATAAAGTAATAAGAAGTAACGATTTTATTTTGCATATACTATGAACCTGCTTCTTCAAAGACAAAACACTATTTTCCTTTGCTTTGAATTTTACTGTAATGGCACTGCTTGTCCTATTCCTGGGTAAACCCTCTTCTGTCTAAACTGATGTGAATTTGCTCATACAAGTATTTTTGCAATAAAATGAAAGTCACATGTTTAAAGGGACAACTTTTAGACAGTGTCAAAGGCACAGGTCTTTGTTCTTTGCATTTTGGACAAACCTAAATTCTTTCTTAAGAAACATCTGTTGATATATGAAGTGAATATTTGATATAGAAAAACCAGATGAGTCACTTGGTGGGAATCTGACTAACAGTACAGTGGATCTAGTTAATCCCTACTAGATGCTATTCTTTCTTCTTTATCTCCATTCATCAATCATTACTCATCAACTGGACTACTCAAATTCATTTATAAATGCCCACTGGTTCCAGCTTCTACTACCTCTAAACCAACTCTTACACCACCGCACGTCATCTTTCAAAAACATAGATCTGTTTATATCCAACCCCTGCCTAAAATCCTCTGTGACCTCCCATCATCTCCTGGATGAAGACTAACCTCTCCAATATAAACTGATCAAGTAAATTTAATAATAATTAAGGTAAACACTGGCAAAAACCAACCAACCATGGAGACGGTGTCTTTGTAAAAACTGCGTATTTGTCCTGTTGTGAAGCAATTTCTTTGGAGAAAGTTCCCATGTTCTAATTCCATACTCTTACTTGGCTTCCCATGTGTCACTCTAAAGGGAAGGATGAGTTAGCCATATCAACATGACATTGTCAACGTATTATTTTTACAATGACAGCCCACCAGTCACAGTAAAAATAAATTGACACCTTGTCTATATACCAATCTTATGTGAGATCAGTGGGTATATAAGATCTACCCGTGAGAAGTAGCTCCGCAATTTCAGTGCATCAGTAAGTTCACCTCGAACTTTGTGTCTTCATTAACTCCATAGTTGAGAATCACGAGACGACCAACAGTTTCTAGTGACATCTGGTTCCTGAAGCCCAATCTTTAGAGTTTAGAACACTGAGTTACAAAGGCCCATAGAATACCATCTTGTGACAGCAGAATACAGGTCTCACTCATACTGCTCAGTGCCTACTTTATAATAGCACTCTACTGACTCCAAGCCTTACTACAGTTATTTCTTTAGTCCAGAACACTATTCCCAGCCAATTCTGACTCTTATTTCCTCTGAGGGCCCTTTCCTAACTCCTTAGAACAGAACAGTTGTCTCTACTGAACCTGTAACCTAGTTCTTCTATTGTAACACTCAAAATACTAACAGTAATACCTTTCAAACTGCAAGCTTCATGGTATTAGAATAATCTCGGCCCCATTCAATAGGGCTAATGCTGGGAATCTGCATCTTCTAGGGTGAAACACTCTTTCCTTTGGTTTCAAATTCTACTTAACACAGCCACATTACTGGCAAACCCTATTCTGTTCAAACTGGTATATATACTCATCACCTAATATAGTACTAAACACAAAGCAGGTGCTCAGTTTGTATTTGTTGAACCTGTAAGATTCATTTGACAGTAATAGGAAGATTGCTGTTAGGAAGACCAGTGCAGTGTCTGCATAAGCATTACAGGTCTGAGGCTATGAGAGACTACAAACGAATGGGTATAAGGAGCGAGGAAAAAGAAAAAAAAAAAGACATTTCAAAAAAACTTGTGGGAGACACAAAATGAAAAAAAGCAATATGCAAAGGTTCTAAATTTAGGAGTTCACCTGAATTAAAATGTCACTGAAGGAGAGGTGAGACTTAGGAGGGGGACTGGTATGGCACAGGTATATTTAGACACATTTATACATAAATTACAAGCATCTTCTTTGTATGGCACTCTGAGTGTACAGATAAATTATAATCACAATGAAGATGAGGGAGGAGGGATGTAGAGAAGCATATGTAGCATCAGAGAAGAGATGGTAAGTACCAGATGAAAAGGAAAAATCTCAGAGACACAGGAATATGTTAGTAAAGAAAGTGGTGCAATGGTATTATCTATCACTGGTCAAGTTTAGCAATTATGGTTGCTTGACATACTTGATCTGGCAGTGGTGAATGTCCCAATTCATAACTAGAAATTATACAAATGACTGTTGTTCAAATGGCCAAATAAAAGGGGCATTATTTCTTAGAGGTTTAGCTTGTCCTGAATTTACTGACAGGTCAGCATTTTGAACTGTGGTGCTGGAGAAGACTCCTGAGAGTCCTTTGAACAGCAAGGAGATCAAACCAGTCCATCCTGAAGGAAATGAACCCTGAGTATTCACTGGAAGGACTGATGCTGAAGCTGAAGGTTCAATACTTTGGCCACCTGATGTAAAGAGCTGACTCACTGGAAAAGACCCTGAGGGCAGGAGGTCAGGAGAACAATGGGGCAACAGAGGATGAGACAGTTGGATAGCATCGACTCAATGGACATGAGTTTGAGTAGGCTCCGGGAGGTGGTGAAGGACAGGCAGGCCTGGTGTGCTGCAGTCCATGGGGTCGCAAAGAGTGGGACATGACTGAGCAACTGAATGACAAGGGCATTTTGCTACTAACACGGAAAAATAAGCACTAATTGCTTCCATCTATAACAGGATAGTACTCGCATTGCTTTAGGCAACTCTCCTCAGGGATCATTGTTCCCTGAAGCTCCAAAGACAGGAATTGGAATACAGTTTCATTTACCTCCTATGCATGAGTCTCAAGCCACTTACCAACAGGAGCAGTCAGACAGTTATCTCAGGGACATGCTTGATTTGTCTGCTGTAGTCCAAGAATGTGGGGAAAAATTATTCTGTCTCCTTTAAGAAGTTTTCCTTAATGCGTCAGCCCACTCTAATGTCTTTCTTTGATAAACTCTTATTTCCAGGCCACAGAGTTTATCCTTTAATTGTTTCCTGTCAGTAGTTTCTCTTTCCATCAGAGGGTTAATTAGTTGAGGGCAAAAACCGTTATTTTTTATACAACTCATTCAATAAAAACTGTAACTAACTCTTAATGTTCCCTATGAAGTTACTATTAAGCTATGGTAGAGATGCCCGTCATTATCATAATACTCTTTTTGAGTGCCCTGGGGAAATTTTCTGTCTAGGGTTTGTGTCCAAAAAATAGTTTTGACAACATAAGATGAAATTTTAAGCAAAAGTTTAAAAATGTTCAAATAAAATGGAGTACTTGTTTCATATGAACTAGCTTAATTTTATTTAAAAATAAGAAAAAGGATGCCTAATCTTTACTGAACCCTTGCTGAGTACCAGGTATACCCAAATTGACCCGTTTAATCTTCAAAATTTCTATGAGGTTAAGTATTACTGTCATCTCCACTTTGCTTATGAGGAAATTCAAGCTTGGTGAATATAAATCACTTGCTTATTTAAGAAAGGTGGAAAGTATTAAATGTTAGACGTAGAAATTATGCCTGAGCGACATGATGCCAAAATTCATGTATGACAGAACTAGGCTAGTTGAAGTTTTATCTTATGAATAATAACTGTGACCTCCATTCATATCCATTCAACTATACCCTGATGATTGATATGCTTTTGTATATTTAGTTATGCTTCAATAAAAGGCTAATGCTTAAAAACAAAAAATACAACTTAAAGCCAAATTTGTGTCAAGTCTAGAGGGCTTTAATAGTAAACCATTTATGTATTATCCTTGTCTTACCTTTCTCACCTATTTTAACTTTATATTATTTTTCTATCTTTTGTGTATTCATCTTTGTAGGCTGAAATGTAATGCCATTTATAAATAAAACATAATAAAAATTATGAATATATTTGATTTTCAGACTCCCCAACTATAGTTAACTTTAAGTATAATAGCAATTATTATTATCATAGAAATCACTCACATAATTCTAGATTATAGTAGACCTTCTAGGAACTGAAAGTACAGAATTGATTAGGTAGGCTAGAGACTTGGTCACCACATTCTGGTGATTCTTTTCAAAGAATGATTTCCAAATTCTCTATATTTTTACTATCATTGGCATAGTTCAGGTCCTTATCAACTATTTTCTGGGTTACTGTGATTAAGTCTGAATACTGCTGAGTTTCTCTTAGCAAGTTTTAAATGGCCCATTTCCCAAACATCAATGAAATAGGAACAGTCTCACTTAAAATCACTTTCTCTTTGTTTATATTTACACAATTCTTCTACAATCATTTCCATCACAAATGGTGCAGCTGATTTGAAATTTCCCTTTGTTCAAACAGGAGTAACTGAAAAGGATCAGTGAATATTCTAGGTTGAGCAATGTCCACTACCAAGCAAGGGACAGCATGAAAATATCCACGTTTCTTATCTCACATGCCTCTAATGATACTGATAAGGAAAACTTCTAAGTCTGTTTTCTCATCTACCTCATAAAAGCACCTTTACCTTTCAACTTAGCACTCACAACTACTTAGAAATCTTTCTTCCTCTTTCATTAACACTGTATGCCATTTTTCAAAGAGGCTGTAATATACTACAGCCTTTCTATAAAACTCAATCCTTTTCTTCTTTTGGGTAACTTTCATGACACTACATTCTCTAACTGCTCATTCTTTTACTTACAACATATTTATACAATCTGTAAGTAACATTACAGAAATATACCGTTCCTGGAAGAATTTTTGAATATAGGTAAAGTAAAAGTCCCCTTTCTCAGCCTTCTTCCATTCAGTCAGTTGATTCTCAGTTTCTTCCTTAATGAATCTCCTTCCCTCTCCACTTATAAAACACTTCTATATATAACAACACTTCCAGCCACAGAAAATAAAAAGTAAAATTACTTACAAACTATATATATTGTTTTGCAACTTTTTTTCATTTATTGCTTTTGAGAGTTATTTATGTTGAATAAATCTGGTTATTTATGTTGAATAGATCTAGCTCACTCTTCTTAAACTGTTGTACAGAAGTGGGCAAGTGACTTAACAACTGGCCTCAGTTTTCCACCATTCTTTGGCTGATCTGTTCCTTAAGGGTTCAGTAAATTGTGAAAAGGTGAGTATATTCTTCAAAGCTTAGTCCTTAAGCTTTTGCTATTTTCTTAAGGCTGACTTCCTCAGAAAACCTGTCTTGGTTTCTCAATGTTTTATTACCTTCTCTGTTTAAAAAATTCCTAAATCTCCATCCTCCCTGCACACAGTCCTCCATCAACCAGGCAGGGGTACAGCGGTTCACAGGGCTCTTCCCTGATCCTGACTTGGGACCCCTAACTTGGCTTGCATGCACTTCCCAGCAGGGTGCTGTGGGGAGGAGCCCAGAGAAGCAAGAGGGCCTGTGTGGCCCATGACCCCTGGGCCTCTGAGCTCCTGGCCCAGAGAGGTGATGTTAAAAAACGGGCTTAAAACTCAACATTCAAAAAAATAAGATCATGGCATCCAGTCCCATCACTTCATGGCAAATACAAGGGGAAAAAGTGGCAACAGTGACAGATTTTATCTTCCTGGGCTCCAAAATCACTGCTGACGGTGACTGCAGTCATGAAATCAAAAGATGCTTGCTCCTTGGAAGGAAAGCTGTGACAAACCTAGACAGTGTATTAAAAAGCAGAGACATCACTTTGCCAACAAAGGTCCATATAGACAAAGCCATGGTTTTTCCACTCGTCAAGTACAGATGTGAGAGTCGGACCATAAAGAAGGTTGAGCACTGAAGTACTGATGCTTTGGAACTGTGGTGCTGGAGAAAACGCTTGAGAGTCCCTTGGACAGCAAGGAGATCAAACCAGTCATTTCTAAACCAAATCAACCCTGAATATTCATTGGAAGGACTGATGCTGAAACTGAATCTCCAATACTTTGACTGCCTGATGCAAAGAGTCGATTCATTGGAAAGGATTCTGATGCTGGGAAAGATCGCGGGCAGGAGAAGAGGGCAACAGAGGATGAAATGGTTGGATAGTATCACCAACTCAATGGATATGAGCTTGAGCAAACTGGGAAATAGTGAAGAACTGGGAAGCCTGGCATGCTGCAGTTCATGGAGTTGCAAAGAGTCGGACATGACTTAGTGACTAAACAACAACAACATGGCTAATTTTAACCAAACTTAACCTCAATTTGGATTCCCTCGTAGCTCAGTCAGTAAAGAATGTCCCTGCAATGCAGGAGACCCAGAGTTCAATTCCTGCAAGGGAAAGATCCCCTGAAGAAAGAAATGGCAACCCATTCCAGTATTCTTGCCTGGAAAATCCCATGGACAGAGGAGCCTGGTAGGCTACAGTCCATGGGGTCACAAGAGTCAGACACAACTCAGAGAGACTAAACCACCAACCACCACGAACCTCAATTCTATCTAATAAAAAATAACTGCCCTAGGCTATTACACTACCATTTGAAATGCATGTTATCTAAACTCTTACACTGGCTAAAACTCAATAAGTCAAAAATAAAAACTTGTGGAGAATACCTCTGAGAACACTGGATGTGGAGACAAGAAAACCTGTTAGTATGTTATTATTTTAACAGAGCGATACAGAAATAATGAAGGCCCAAATAATATGAAATTGAGAAGAAATAATATGGATTTATTTTAACAGATTCCAGAGATATCTCAAAGAACTGACAGACTTGATAACCAAGGTAGGGAACAAGAGATAAAAGGTCAAGATGACTCCTAGTTATTTGGTTTGAGAAACTGGATGTCTGACAAGAATGTCATTCAATAAGCGAGGAAATGCTGGGGGAAATGACCATGGGTCAGGTTTTAAAATGTTTAACCAGAGGAGCCTGCATGACATTAAGGGGAAGATCGATTAGCTAGCTGATATGGCTCTGAAGCTACAGAGAAGACCTGATTTGGATAATAAGTTAATAAATGAAAGTATGACATAAATTGACCTAACTATGAATGTAACTGACCTAAAATGGCACATACTGGAAGAGAATCTAAGGGAAAAGAAATAAAAAATAAATCCAAAGCAGAAACATAAATACATTACTTACCTTCTTCTCAATCTGGATCTCTTCCAAGCCTCTCCATTTTTTTATCAATGAGTCTATCTTTGCTTAAATTTTTCCCATTCTTTTGACTCCCATGTTCGATCACTGCTTAGTACAGTGGCTAAAACCAGGTTTCCAAGAATCAAAACGCTGCCCCACCACTTTCTAGTTTTATGACCTTGGGCAAGTTACTTAACTACTTCTGTATTTTTCAGTTGTACCACCTGTCAAAGAATAATAGTACTTAATAATATTACTTAATATTTCCATAACAGGTTGTTGTGGAAATTAAATTAAAAGAAAATTAATGCTTTAAATTGTTACTTTTTTTTTTTACTTTTTTTTTTAAGTTTTTTTTAAAAGAACTTAGGATAGAGCCTGGAATTGTGCTCTGTAAGCAAATGTTAGATAAATAAGTAAATAAAGCCTGTCAAGATCCTTTGTGAAGTCCTTCACGTGTGGCATTTCTTTCATTTTCATTTGATACCAAACCACCTGAGGTCTCCATTATTTCACATATTATCACCTCATCATTCTGCTAAGATTGCTTTGTAAAAAGTCACTCATGATCTCTTGATAAAGAAATGCAATCTTTTATTTTTTTCTTTCTCATTCTCCAAAGGCTCTGCATCCATTGTGTCAGTGGACCCTTCTCATTATTCTCCTCTCTTGACTTCCAAGACTTCTTGGTTGCTGGAATCCTTACATTTTATCATTATATTTTATCATCTACTTCTGTTTCTCCTGTAATATCAACTACTATTAACTACTCAGTCCCATTTCCCCAAATATTCCCTTCTTTCTCAATAACCCCTTCCTGATGCCAACTATTTCCATGGCTTCCCCCTATGTGCTTTAGGATGATTCAAACTTTTACCTCAAGCCACGGCATTTAGGCTGAGCTGCAGATTTGTCTTTCCAACTCTATACTGGACAGTTCCAGGTGGCTATCCCATCAGGCCTTAAATTCAAATATCCAAAAAATGAACTGGTAATCTACACTATGTTTATGGTTTTATTGGTGATAATGACATTAACAATCTTCAAATTTCACAGGCCTGAAATCTAAGACTCAGCTTTGATACCTCTTTCACCCTCAACATCCAATTCATGATGGAGTCTTTACAGCATTTCCTACAGCATGTGTGCTGTGTGTCTCAGTCATGTCCGACTCTTTGCAACCCCGTGGACTGCAGCCTGCTCGGCTCTTCTGTCCATGGGATTCTCCAGGCAAGAATACTGGAGTGGGTTGCCATGCCCTCTTCGAGGAGATCTTCCCAACCCAGGGATCGAACCCAGGTCTCCCACAATGCAGAAGGATTCTTTACCGTCTGAGTCACCAGAGAAATCCAAGAATACTGGAGTGGGTAGCCTATCCCTTCTCCGGGGGATCTCAATCCACGAATCAAACAGAGGTCTCCTGCGTTGCAGGCGGATTCTTTACCACCAGCTGAGCTACCAGGGAAGCCCTTCCCTTCAGCATACCTGCCTTCTTTCTGATAATACTATCATTACTCCGTTTTGGGATTTCATTACTTCTCACTAGGCTGATCCCATTACACCTTCAAAAGAATCTCCAATAAGAACAACTAGACTTTAGCTAAAGAGTCCAGAATCAGTTCTTAGAAATTCCTATCCTATAGGCTGACCTCCAGAACAAGACGATTTTCTACAGTGCAAAGCTGACCACACTAGTCTCCTGCTCAAAACTCTTCAACAAGTACCACCTCTTTTAGGAGTAAATCTTCACTATCTGGACTTCCATCTACTTTCCCAGCTTCATATCTCATGCTTTGCACAAGAGCCCTGGAACCCTCTCCTGCTCTTCCCACACAAGTTATGCTAAAGTATTCCTTCACAGCACTGCAACTGTTCCTCTGAGCGCAAAACCTCTTCTCCACCTTATCCCCAAATAAAACTGAAAAGTCTCTTCAGCCTCCCCGCAACTGCCCCTTGACATTTCATACATATACGACTGATATGTACATCGCAGGAGCACTCATTTGTTTTTATCTGGTTCCCAAACTTGACCCTGAAAATTAGAACAATTTCTTACGAATTCCCAGTGCCTGACAAGGCGCCAGATGTAAAAAAGGTGTTGTAGCCAGCCAGTGGCAAAAGGGTAAACTAGCTGCACTCCACAGTGATCCTTGCAGGCTGGCACTGAGGCCTTGCTCTGGCCGAGAACTGGCACTTCTTAAAAGATGCCGCAGTCGTGTTAAAGCCAACTGCTGGGCCCTCGGCTGGGGTCCCCGGAGAAGGTCCCTGGGGGCATCCTTAGGCTCCCCACTCCAGACTCATGGGAGGGAAAGGGGCGGGGCATAGCAGGGGCCGGGCCAAGGGCTCCTTAAGCACCCCCGAGCCTAGGCCAGCCCCTCGGCCCCCATCCCGGTGCAGGTCCCGGTCAATCCAGGGCCCCAAGGGGGCTCGATTTTGAGAGACCTTGTACCCCTACCCGGCGCTCCGGCCGCCTCCGCACTTACAGACCCGGGGGAAGGCCACCGTCAGGATCCGGCACCGCCAGGAGCTCCGGCCCCTCGGGGCTCCGGGAAGGGGGAGGGGCAGGGAACCCGAGCCAAAGGGGGACCCAACGGAACCGGAAGGGCAGCCCTCGCCGGACAAAGACAACTTCCAGGTCCCATGGTCCTCTCCGCCAATCGGAAGGCTGGGAGGGCTGCGGGCCAGGAGAGGGATTCTCCGTGCCGTGGGCGAGATGCAGATCGGGTGTCCCGGGCTCCCGCTAGCTTCTCCGCCCTCGCGAGCCGAGGTGCAGGTGCTGTGGCTTCTTAGCGCCTGGGGCTCAGGCCCCGCGCGCTTCTCTCCTTCTCAGCCGCTTCACTCGAGCTACTCCTCAGCCGTCTGCCGTCTGCGTGGGCCTGAAAGGCGCAGCTGCACTTAAAGCGTTGGTAAGCTCCTCCTGCCTAGGGTATGGACTCGCCTTCTTGGGACCCAGAACCGGAGGGAAGGAAGTTTACCTCCCTCGGTTTTTGCATGTTGGTGTTTCCCAGGGATTTGCATTCTCCGTTACCTAGAACTTGCTGACTGTTCACAACTCTCTTTCGCCTGACCAGACAGCTCTCTTGCTCCAGGGCCGGGTGCCTAGAAGACATGTCCAATTGGTTTTCCACTGTTAAGGTAGCTTTGAACTCAAGTTCATCCGCAGACCTGCTTCTTACCTCCTGTAGTCCTTGTGTTGGTGAATGGCATCGTCCACGCAGTCTTGCCCACCAGAAAACTTCAGTACCATTCTAGAGCTCCTTTCCATTTTGCCAATCCAGTGGTTCACTGGGTTCTCCTCATTTTGGGGGGGGGGGGAGAGCGAGGATATTGTGGTAAGACATACATAGTATTTATCATTTTAATAATTTGTAAGTGTGAAGTTCCATGGCATTAAGTACTTCACAATATCGTGTAACCACCACCGCTGCTGTAGCCAATATCATTATTTTGCTTGTGGTTATCGTTTTTCCTCCATTTTTGAAAAGTTTGTCCTTTTCCCTGCTGACTAGGTCAGTAAAGAATCCGCCTTATAATGCAGGAGACCTGGGTTCCATTCCTAGGTGGGGAAGATCCCCTGGAGAGGGAAATGGAAATCTACTCCAGTATTCTCCCCTGGGAAATCCCCTGAACAGAGGAGCCTGGCGGGCCACAGACCATGGGGTCACAAGAGTCGGACAGAATTTAGTGACTAAGCCACCATCATCGTTTTTCCAACACCATTTTTGAAAAGCCCCTCCTTTCCCTGTTGAATGGATTTGGCACCTTTGTTGAAAATCGACTGACCATGTATGTGAGAATTCATTTCTGGACTCTCTAATTCTATTACATGTGGCTGTATCTCTGTCCTTATACTGGTACTTATTCTTCTATTGTAACTTTGTAGTAAGTTCCTAAGTGAGGAAGTTATTAGGACTTCAACTTTATTTTATCCAGATTGTTTTGGTTATGGCAAGCCCCTTGAAATTCCGTATGAATTTGAGGATCAGCCTTTACATTTCTAAGAAAAAGGCTGTTGTAACTTTGATAGAGATTGGGTTGAGTCTGTAGATCACTTTGGGTAATATTGCCATCTTAATTTCAAGTCTTACTGTCTGACTAAGAAATATCTTTTCATGTACTTAAGCAGAAGAGAGAAGAAAGCTCAGTCGTGTCTGACTCTTTGCGACCCCGTGGACTGTAGCCTATCAGGCTCCTCCGTCCATGGGATTCTCCAGGAAAGAATACTGGAGTGGCTTACCATTTCCTTCTCCAGGGGATCTTCCCAACCCAGGGATCGAACCCGGGTCTCCTGCATTGGAGGCAGACGCTTTAACCCCTGAGCCACCAGGGAAGTACTTAGGTCTTTATTAATTGCTTTCAGCAGTATTTTCTTTCAGGAGCACTTTTCAGGGTATTTAATTCATTCTGATAACATAAATGAAATTGCTTAATTTCCTTTTCACACTGTTGCTGGTGTGTAGAAACCCAACTGATTTTTGATGTTGGTCTTGTACCCAGCAATGCTTCTGAATTTTTTTTTTTTTTTTTGACCCTATAGGCTTTCTTGTGGATTCTTTAGGATTTTCTGTATATATGATTATGCTCCCTGTAAATATAGCTTTACCTCTTTACAATTTGGATGCCTTTTATTTCTCTTTTTTATCTAATAGTCTGGTTAGAGCTTTCAGTACAGTGTTGAATATCAGGCATCCTTGACTTGTTCATGACTTGTTCTAAGAGGCATAGGTAAATGATTGCATTTGATTTAGACATGGGTTTCTCTTTTTAAATACTTTTATCATGTTGAGGAATTTTCCCTAACTACTTTTTCTGAAAGATCTTATCATGCAAAGGCATTGTACTTTGTTATTTTCAACATTGAGATGATCATGAGTTTTTTCCTTTAGTTCTATTAATGGAATATTTTAAATTGATTGATTTTATGTTGAACCACCCTTGCATTATTGGGATAAATCCTGCTTGGTCATGGGGAATAATTCTGTTAATATGCTGTTGAATTTGATTTGCTTATATGTTTTTGAGGATTTTGGCATCTATATTCATAAGAGATATTGGTATATAATGTTGTGATGCATTTAGTTAGCTTTGGTATCAGAATAATGAGGCTTCATGAAATCAGAAAGCATTCCCTCTTCCTCAATTTTTTGTAAGAGTTTGAGAAGGATTGTTATTAATTCTTAATTATTTGGTATAATCCCTTGCTGAAGCCATCTGGTGCAGGACTGTTCTTTTTTGGGAGGTTTTTGATTATTCACTCAATCTATTTACTTGTTATGAGTATGTTGAGATTTTCTAATTTTTCGAGAATCCATTTAAATAATTTGTATGTTTCAGGGAATTTGCCCATTATATTCTAGGTTGATTTTGTTGATCTTTTCAAGAAAACAACTTTTGGTTTCATTGATTTCTTTTTTTCTCTTTTTCTTTTCTTTTTTCTTGGTTTATTTCCATTCTATTTCCTTCCATTTGCTAGTTTGAGTTTAGTTTGTTGTTATTCTTATTTCATAAGGCATAAAGTTAGGATATTGTTTTGAAATTCTTGTTTTTTAATGTAGCCATTTACAACTGTAAATTTCTCTGATTACTGCTTTCATTGCAGCCTGTAAGTTTTGCATGTTTTTATCACTACTCATTTTCAAATATATTCTAATTTCCCTTTTGAGGACTTCTTGGACTCATTTGTTCTTTAAGAATGTGTTTAATACCCACATATTTTTAATTTTCCAGTTTTCCCTGTTACTGATTTCCAGCTTCATCCCATTGTAGTTGGAAGATACTTTGTTTAATGACCTCTCTTTTAAAATCTATTGAGACTTGTTTTGTGGCCTAATATATGGCCTGGATTGGAGAATGTTCCATGTGAACTTGAAAAGAATGTGTTGCTGTTGTGCAGTGGAATGTGCTGTATACCTGTTAGGTTCAGTTAATTTATTGTGATGTTCAAGTCCTCTAATTCCTAATTTATCTTCTGTCTGGTTGTTCTATTCATTATTGAACGTGGGCTGTTAAATTTTCTAACTATGATTGTAGAACTATTTATTCTTCCCTTTAATTCTGTTCATTTTTGCTTCAAATATTTTGAGAGTCTATTACTAGTTATGTAAAAGTGAAAGTTGTTCAGTCCTGTCAGACTCTCTGACCCCATGGACTATCTAGTCCATGTAAATCTCCAGGCCAGAATACTGGAGTGGGTAGCCTTTTCCTTCTCCAAGGGATCCTCCCAACCCAAATCAAACACAGCTCTCCTGCATTGCAGGTGGATTCTTTACCTGCTGAGCCACAAGGGAAGCCCAAGTATACTGGAGTGGGTAGCTTTTTGCTTCTCCAGTGGGTCTTCCCGACCCAGGAATTGAACCAGGGTCTCCTTCATTGCAGGCTGATTCTTTACCAACTGAGCTATCAGGGAAGCCTGAGGTAAAAGTGAAAGTCGCTCAGGTGTCTGACTCTGCACCCTCATGGACTGTAGTCCATGGAATTCTCCAGGCTAGAATACTGGGATCAAACCCAGGTCTCCCACATTGCAGGAGGATTCTTCCCTGTTAGCTCAGTTGGTAAGGAATCTGTTGGCAATGCAGGAGACCCTGGAGACTGTAGTCCATGGGATTGCAAAGAGTTGGACAGGACTGAACGACTTTCACTAGTTATGTAAATGTTTATGTTTTTATAATCTTGCTCTATAGAACCTTTTTTTAATAATATATAATGACTTTCTTCGTCTCTTGTAACTTTTTAAAGTCTATTTTGTGTAATCTTAATATAACCACCCGAAGCACCCTTTTGGTTAGTACTTGCATAAAAATGCATAGAATATCTTTTTTTTTAAAAACCTATTAATGTCTTTGGATCCAAAGTGAATATTTTCTAGATTGCATATTGCTGGACCATGTTTTTATTTTATCCATTCTGCCCATCTCTATCTTTTGATTAGAGAGTTTATACCATTTACATTTAAAGACTGATAATGAGGAACTTATTTCTGCCATTCTGTTACTCGTTTTCTATAGGTTTATAGCTTCTGGGTCTTTCATTTCTTCCATTACAGCCTTCTTTTTTAACTTTTTGTAATGAAAACTTTTGACTTACCTCTTATTTCCTCCTGTGTATATTCTATAGACATTTCCTTTTTGGTTACCATGGGAATTACATTTAACAGTGAAAATTGTAACAATTAAATGGATACCAATTTCAGTAACATACAAAAACTGTCCTGTACATCTCTATCTCCTCTTTCTGTTCTTGACTTTTACAGATTACATCTTTATACATTGTGTGTGCAATAAATTAGACTAATATTTTTATGCATTTGTCATTAAAATCATAAATTAAATAAAATGGAGGAAAATTTAAGTGGAGGTAAATGATAATTACACTGATAATTCTGTAGTTGCCTGTATATTTTTCTTCACCAGAGATCTTTATTTCTTCATATGACTTTAATTATTGTTGAGCATCCTTTCATTTCAACCTGAAGGATCCTCTTTATCATTTCTGGAAAAGGTGGGTTTAGTGGTAATAGATTCCCTTAGCTTATTTTTAATCAGAAAATGTCTTGATTTCTCCCTCATTTTTGAAGGAAAATTTTGCTAGATATAGAATTGTCCACCAAGAGTTTTTTTCATTCAGTACTTTTATCAACCCACTGCCTCTGGCCTCTAAGATTTAAGATGAGAAACTGTCTGATAATCTTACTGAAGATCCCTTGTATGTGATGAGTATTCTCTCTTGTTGCTTTCAAGATTCTCTTTCTTTGGCTTTCTACAGTTAGGTGGTTATCTTTTCTTCCCTTTCTCTCTTCTCCTTTTGGGATACTTATAATGGTACATTGTTTCTCTTAATGGTGTCCTGTAGACCTCTTAGGCTCTCTTTAGTGTTCACATTTTTCTTTTATTTTTCTGTTCCTCAGATGGAGTAGGAAGAACATGGAATCCATCTCTACCTAGACAACAGTTATACTGGCAGAAACTGTCTGAAGTAACTATTTCGGAACTCTGGAGTCTATTTGAATGCTTGCATGTCCCAGGGAAATTTTGGTTGGTCAACTGAGGTTAATTTCAGTCAACATGAGCCTTTAGTGTGAATAGGTAGGAACCTGTTCATTCCTACCCCTCAGCCCTGTGCTAGGCAGTCATGTTTATATTGCAGGTATGGCTTGCTGGAGCCAGAATGGGAAGTAAGAACCTTGTTCTCCAAATACTAGAGTTCTACATTTTATTTTTATTGAAGTATAGTTGATTTACTATATTGTGTTAGTTCGGGTCTACAGCAAAGTGATTCAGTTTTATATATATGTTTGTTTTTTTATTATGTTTTATTACAGGATATTGAACATAGTTCCCTATGCTATACAGCAGGACTTTGCTGTTTATATATTTTATATATAGTAATCTGTATCTGCTAATGCCCAATTCCTAATTTACCCCTCCCGGACCCCACTTCTCCTTTGATAAACATGTTTTCTATGTCTGTGAGTCTGCTTCTGTTTCATTGATAAGTTCATTTGTGTCATATTTGAGAATTCACATGTAAGTGATATCATATGGTATTTAGACAAAGACATTAAAACAACTGTCTTAAAGTTGCTCATTGAGCCAAAAGAAACATGGATGAAGTCTGGAAAATAATGTACAAAAAATGCAAATATCATTAAAGAAATAGAAATTATAAAAAGGAACTAAAATGAAATTCTGGAGTTGAAAAGTACAACAGAGATATGAAAAAAAAGTTCATTTAGAGGGGATCAAAATATACTTTGGCCACCTGATGTGAAGAGCCAACTGATTGGAAAAGACTCTGATGCTGGGAAAGATTGAAGGCAAAAGGAGCAGAGGGCAGCAGAGGGTGAGATGGTTACATAGCATCATCAGCGCAATGGACATGAGTTTGCACAAACTCTGGGAGATAGTGAAGGACAGGGAAGCCTGCTGTGCTGAATAATAACAAAATCAGACTTGAGCAGGCAAAAGACAATCAACAAACTTGAAGATATTTCCTTCAAACTCAGCTCCTTTTCCCCCCACTTTCTTTTGCCTTAGTTCAGGTGTTTCTGATCTGCCTAAGATCAGAAAGTGATACTCAAAGTGTTCTATTTACTCCCTGTTTTGCCTTTTCTACTCCTACCACAATGAACTTTTTTAAAACTCAAATCTGTTATTGGCACTATCCTTAGAAACCTCAAGGGCACCCTGTGTTTATAGATTGAACTTCATTTTCCTTATTTTAGCATTTAGGGACTTTTCCATTCTGGTTCCAGCTTACCACATCAACCTATTGAGCTTGAGATATAAATTCCATTTTCCAGGAAATATTAGGTCTAAGGAAACAAACTCAGTGACTTTCTGAGGAAACAACTGTTCAGATCCAGAAGATAGGAAATTTTGTACTTCAACTAGACTGATTTCTTCAATAAGCCAGTGTCTTTCAAAATTTTTTCTTAAGTACTATAAAAAATACTTAAGGGGCATCACAACCAGACATAGTGTGTGGGCTTGGACTGGATGCTGATTTGGGAAAATTAGCTGTAAAAAATATATTTTGGTCAACAGAAAATTTGACTATAGTTAGGTATTAGATGAGAGGAAAATTTACTGAAATGATATTACTGATTTGGTAAAGCCTGCTGTAAAAATATTTTTAGGTTGTTAGAAAATTTGAATGAGATCTAGGAATTAGATGAGAGGAAAATTTAGTGAAATGCTAAGGTAGATACTGTTAGTTGAATACAGCAGACTGCTTAATTATGTGAGCTCATTTTGAAAAACAGTATATAGACACAAAGAAGACTGTTTTAAACTATTAATATTTGTAGTGAGAATCTGATATTTTTGTTTTATTTGAGGTTGTCCCTGTTCTGGATATTTCTCCAGGACATACTCTAATGATTCTGTAATAAAATTTTATTTAAAAGATTATGTTAAGATTTATGTATATATTGGGGAAACACATATAAATCAAGAAATACATGAATGTATGGTCACCAAACTATTAAAAGTGGTTTTGTCAGAGTGTCAGGATTTCAGGAGATTTTGCTTTCTTCATAATGTATTATCTGTTATTTAAATACTTTAAAATGGGTGTGTATTTCTGTTACATAACTGTGTAAGGAGAAGGAAGAAAGCTATTTTACTGTGGGAGTGCAGCCAAGTCTATTATAATAGACAAGTCACAAAGAGGACTGCAACAGAGCACAGCCTTTGTTTTTTTGCTGTGTCTGGTTGATTTAGATGCACTATCCACAGGAAAACTTTGCGAATGACTCATTTAGCAGGAAAAGAGTATACACGATTTGAATCAAGAAAATGAGGGAGAGGCTTTAGAATATTTCATAAACTGTCAAGACTTAATTAGCACTTTTAATAATCATTATTTTTGTTTACAACCACACTGTAAATTCACTCAGAAGAGGGACTTTCAACTTCATTCTATTGCTGTTCTATCACTTTTGTGTGGCTTTTAAATAAAATCCCAGCCCCATCTTTTGAGTAGCACTCTGAAACAACCTAGTTCATTTTGTTCTGTTTTGTGTGTCTCAGATGTCTCAAGGTAGTTGTGTTGTAGCCAGTCGCCCTTGATTTCAAAGTTAGAAAGTTGACTTCTAGACGGAATCCTGTTCTTAGGCTGGATTCCTTTACAAAATGAGAAAAATCATATTCTCAAGGTTTGTGGTAAAGCCAAGTGACATACCCGTAAAGGAACCTGCCTGTTGACCATCCCTGGCACTTTCTGCGCCCTCCATAAAGGTCAGGTGTGTTGGATTAACATCATTAAGTGAGACTTTAGAAACAGCTTTTAAACGTTAAGGGTGAGGAAGGAATCCCTTGCTCTAGCACCAGTGACTTTGAGGTTGTACCCACCTCAGGCGCAACAGGTACTACCCAGCCTGCTGCCCCCGCCAATCCTGCTCCCAGTCCCAGTCACTGTTGGCCCTCGCGCGCACACTCAAGCCAGAGACAAGTCCCTCTCCCGGAGAGAAGACTCCGCGCAGGCGCAGAATACGGAGGCGGGCCAAAAGCTCAGGTGGGGTCCGCGGAAGGGAAGTACGCCCCCGCCGCCTGTCGTTGGGCCAATGGGGCGACTCGGCTTTGCCAAGGGCCTATGAGACAGGACAGGAGGCGGGGCGGAGGGCGGAAGGAGCGCCCTCACGTGAGTAGGGGGCGGGGACGGCGGGGGCAGGGCGGCTAGGGAGGCCCAGGCGGCGGAGCCTCCGGGACGGCGAACGGCGGGCGGCGGAGGAGGAGACGGCGGGTCGGGTAGGGCCGCGTTTCCCCTCCTCCTCCTCCCACCCACCATGCCCGGGGGGGATCCTCGGACGGTCCCTGCGGCGAGCCAAGCCGTGTTCTTATCCCGCGGGGCTGGGCCGGCGAGACTGCGTTAAGGTCCCTCGAAGAGCCGGGTTCTGAGGGGAGCAGTGATTGGGGGGAGGGGGAGCAGCGGCCCTGGGGCGGGGGGAGGACGCATGCGCAAGCGGGAACGCTCGGACAGCCCCTGCCCAAACCGGTTCCCCCTGTCTGGGTGGGTGTATGCCTTCCCGGTGGTGCACTTGCGGCTGTCTCTCTCGCCCCTGCTGCAAAGGCGGTTTGTCTCTTGACTTTTTATGTTTGGGGAAAGGTCCTGTTTGAGAATTTGGCCGCTCCCTCCGCCTCAGTTTCTCCCCGTTGCACGCTGGGCCTGTACCTGTGACTTAGGCTGGCTTCGGCCTCAAGCAAGCTTCCTGGGCTGCGCCTGATTTGAAAGGCTTGCTTTATTCTAGTGTCGGTCTGCCATCTCCTGTTGGCCTTTCCGTCTCATTTTCCCACCTGCTATCTAAGTGTCCCCAGTAGCCCCGTCTTCCCAGATTCTTTTAAGTGTCTGCCCCCAGTACCTCGTTGCTGTATCGTGATTCCCAGCAGCCTAAACGGCTTTAGGTGTTGAGCCCGAGGATCTCCCCAGACTTCCAGGAGTTCGCTGTCCATTGCCTGGTGGTACTTTGGTGTCCCTTCTAACATTTGGATTGTTATCTGCAACTGCCTTTACAGTCATCTCCATACTTAACGGTTCCTTTATCTTGGAAGCAAAAGCCCTAGCAAACCATGCTGTTGGTACGCTATAAGTGCCCTATTAGTTTCAATCGTATTTCGACTTGAATTGGAGATCTTTTGAGGGTTTTTTTTTTGTTTGTTGTCAGGGGCGGGGGTGGGGAACAGGGTTTCACAATTCACTTGATATTTTCATTCAAATAAACACCTGTATTCACATACGTGGGACTGGAGTAGTAAGTCGCGAGTGTGTGTCTATCCCAGCTGCTGTGTTTAGGAGGGGAAAAAAACAGTGAATTCAGCTGAGTTTGTCACATTAAAACTGAGATTTAGAAAGTTGAAAAACTTAGGTGCCAAAGGAGTGCACGTTTTCGTTTTTAAACGAAGGACCTGTTGGCCTTAATTCTAGCGTGTATAAGGTGCTATTTTAATGTATATTTAAGGTTTTATTTGGGTTTACTTATTAAAAACTGAAAATGAGTAAGGAACAGAGTTCTTTAAAATCTTCCTTTGTAGACCTCAGTTTCTATTAATAAAATGAGTCCACGATTGAGTTGTATTTATTAGTAATGGGTTCAATACGTATTATCAATTCAACTTTGTCATTAAAGTTGAACTACTGCTATGTTACGGTACACAGTTCCTTTTCGTTTCAGTTTTATGACTTAGTTTACAGTTAACTAGCTCAGCTCCTCGGTATTAAGGTACACATTTGGGTACTTATTAACTGCATGCAGTTTGGCATTTTTTTGCATAATGATTTTCTTGTTTTTACTTTTAAAAAATGTTAAGTATAGTTGATTTTAGCATAGTGCTTTATTAGGAATTTGCAGGTGCTTAACCTGGATAAAATTGTAGTTTAGTGGGACTGTAAAAGTGAAGAAAGTTGTTTCCTATCTCTTGTACTGCATGTTGGAAGAAGTGTATTATGCACGTTATCTACATAAGGGAGCATGGTTTTTCATAAACATATCTCAACCATACAGTCTTGGTTCATTAAAGAAGTCGTTTTCTATTATTGAGTACGTTTCTAGCTAAACTTTACAACCCAAATTCTTTTATTTAGAGAA